TTGCCTTGGAAGAGCTGACAGAACTCCTTTCACTTAGCTCGTCATCATCAGTAAGATCACCAGGTGCCTTATAAAAGGACATTTTGAAATACCTGAAGGCAGCTAAAAAGAATAAATCACCGACTGCCTACGGTTACTGGGTCAGTTTTCGTCAAAAGTAGAACAGATCTGCTATGCGTACTACACATTCACTGTCTCAGCTCAGAATCAATCGATCTGCACACTGCACTGGACAATAAAAATCAGCATTGGACAATAAATATTGTCACTGCATTCATCAAGAACTTTAATCAGACATAATACACAATCGCACACTGAATTATAGCTTACTATGACTCGTCACAACTGCACTAACAGAAAATCCAAATCCACTATGCACACTTTTGGGTACATAAATACTTTTTGGCAAATTGTGTCTTTAGTCCCACTCCCATCAGTACCTTTTTAAATACCCAGTAAAATACCCCATCAGTATTTTTTTTTTTTTTTTTTTTTTTTTTTTTATTTTGGGGTGGAAGAGCACATAATTAGAACATACTTTTTTACCTTTATTTTTTAGAAAAAAGACTACCTTGTGCAAAGCATAGAGTTAATTTTTCCGAACATTAAAATTAATTAAAAAAAGATATATAAAAATATCATAACAATTTATTAAAGTATCACTAAAACTACTCAGTCTGCAAGGTTAAAACAAAATAGATACAATATATTAAAAGTGTGGTGTGGTGTATTTAATTATGGCAAAGCACACTAAGGCTATCTGCCTAAGGGGAGGGATTGCCTTTGTGGAGGACCTTTCTAAGGGAAACTGGCTTGTATACACGTTACACATGAGGAAAACCATGAAAACACCCAAGCGGCCAGCCTGTTCGCGGGATTCGAACCGCAGACCGAACTACCAGTGTTCAGCGACTTTACCGCTCGGCCGCTGATGGACCCAATATATTAAAAGCATATGTTCATGTACATAACATAATATATGGTAAAGTAAAATGGCAAAATAATTAAAGGAACAACTATAAAAAGTGCTATACATAAATTAAGTGAAATCCAGTAAAAGACAGTTGACAACTCAAGGTCAACAAATAATCTGATGAGATTCCCCTTCACTGCACAGATATATGCTAATTTCCGTGCTCATTTTTTTGGCACATATGGAAAAAAGTGCAAAGATGTGCTTTAAATTCTAATTTCAAGGACTTTATGAGAAGAAGTATACAATTTTCATGTATGGAGGACAAAACATGTCAGGCTGTCGCTGACCAGGCATCTGACACATTATTTGAAATGACATGCGACTGCGAGAACAGAAGCTTAACAAAGACTTACAGATGTCTGCAAAGTCCTAAAAGTAGGCAGTGTCATGTCACGAATCTAGAATCTAAGGATATTGGTGATGTTTGCAGAATATAAAATCAATATTTAACAATATGTTTTTTTTTTATACTTCCTTATTATAACATGCCCCAAGATATCTTGTCATGTGTTATTGTGATTATTATTACATATTGTTATTATAACATTATTATTGTCCTTATATAGCATTATTATTATACATTATAATAAATTAAGTTCATTATGTATGTTATACAGTATTATTATTATATAATATACTGTGCCATTTATTTTTATATTAGGAATTTACTAGCTTGATGAAGTCGAAGCTGGGATTTTGGCATAATCCTTAAGTCGCCAATCAGGTCAGGACTGCTATACGAAAAATGTATTTTCTGGTTCCTCCCATACTACAGTCTGTTCTTTCAGAACAGGCAGCTCAAAATCATTTGGCTTGCCTCATATCTAAGATAATGACTGCTGATAAGATGGTCAAGTCCTCTAGTTTTCTAAAATCCTCTTATCTTCTCTGTGCAACGACAATGACACACGTCAGGATTAAAATAAGGAAAAGGTCAGTATGAGTAATGACAACATGAAATGCCTTAGCCCATCATTAAATATACATCAAGTTAAGTCAGAGCCCACTTGAGCCCTCTTGTAAAAAAAAAAATTATTAGTAATTAAGTCTTAAAATTTAATTCTAACATTAAAATGCATGCCTGTCCATTCCTAGGAAACAAACTCTTGGACAGAGGTTGAAAATTTTAAGGGAAGAAAAATCCCCAACCACACGCCAAACCTTTATTCTCAAGGAAAGAGCTTCCTGGAGAATGAGCAAATTTTTTTGTTTCACGAAGTATTAGAAGTGATCAATCCGATTGTTTATCCACTAATCTGACATCAGTTTACAATACAGCAGGGAAGTAGAATAAATGTTCGTGTTCCTAAATGCACTCCAGGCTACAACAGATTTAACATAGCCTAAATGGCTTACACATGTCCAATGCTAGTGACTTCCTACAGAAAACAGCACCAGCGGAATTTTTAGAATGATGCAACCAAATCTGGGATAAAATTGACCACTTGTACAGAACCTTACATATGTTCTCAGCTTATAGATCAAACTTGTATTCAGGAGAAGTTATCAGAAAGGGAACATAGTGTGGTCTTCGAGAAAGACCACAAACATAATCAGAAAAGGTTGGACTCTTCTTTATTTGTTTTAACATCTAAAATTCTCTATTAACATTTTGTCCACATACTTATACTGTTTCTAGCATTCTCTCTATTCTAATTAATGATGCTTTAACCATTTCCACCTTTTTTTAATTGGTATGCTGGAAAAAGAATGATCTTTGTTTTTTCTTCTTAAAATAGTACATTGTAATTCCATTGTAAATTCAAGTCATTGTCAATTCTTAAATTCCACTGGAATCTGCTCCATTATTTTATAGTGTTTTGGTGAAATTGTATTTGTAACCTAAGCACCAAATTAGACAAGTTCCAGTATTTTTTTTTATTTAACTATTTATTTGTTAATTTCATTTATTTCTTTATATTTTATTTAATTTTAATTATTTTATTGAACCATTTTTGGCTGATCTTTGGAATATGGCAACTGGTAGTTTGGCGACATTTTGGAGGCGATAAAGATTACTACCTAGGACTTTGGTAATAATGTGAGAAGCACTCAGTTCCGATTACGCATTATTTTGTGTGAGGGAAATGAGAGATCATGAGATATGTCATGTGACATTAATGGACGAATTACAGTTCTTTAATCGGAAAAGGGGGGGAATTTGGAAAACTGTAGTACTATATTATTTTGTATTAAGCTTCATTGTGTGTTGTGTGAAATAGTGGAAGTGTGCATGCATGTAATGAAGATTCTGAAGATTAGGTAAGTTAGTATTTTAATCATTTGAGGATATTATTTTTATGCATTGTTCTAAATGTAAGGAGTAAATAAATTAATATGGTATTATTGGAAAAATTGTTATTAGCAATGATTTAGTTTAAAGTAATTAGGATTGTAATCTAATTTTTATTAATTTAATGTACGTGCTTATTTATATTTAAGTAGTGTTTTTAATTAATTATTTTTAATTTAATGATCGTGATTTTGTGAGTTATATGTTTGTAGTATTTTGGAATATGTTTGAGTAGAATACGTTTGAGTATTTTATGCATTTCGTGAAATTTTTCTAATTTATGAGAAAAAAGCAGTGTACATGGATATAGTGAAGAGTGTGCGCAATGCCATTTTTGTGCAATTCTGGGATGTTTTTTTAAGTAAAAATAAGTCGAAGTGTACATGGTTTAGTGATATTTTAATTAAATGATAGTTGTTTTGTGAATTTTATGTTTGTAGGAATTTGGTATACGTTTCAGTTGAAGTAAACATGCATGGAAGTAATTTAAATATTTGACACTAAGTATTTGTAACCATTTGTAATGTTTGCGGTATGAATTTGTTGGTGACGTTTATAATATAATAGATAATTTAGAGGTAAAAGTTTTTGGATATTTTATTTATTTTATACGTGGAAATGTTCATCTTTGGAAAGGGTATATATTTTTTGCGATCAGGTAATTTGGTAATTTCATATGTTCTTTTTTACCGGATTTAAAGATTCACAAAATTTTCATGCACTTTCGTGAAATTTTTCTAATTTATGAGAAAAAAGCAGTGTACATGGATATAGTGAAGAGTGTGCGCAATGCCTTTCTTGTGCAATTCTGGGATGTTTTTTTAAGTAAAAATAAGTCGACGTGTACATGGTTTAGTGATATTTTAATTAAATGATAGTTATTTTGTGAATTTTATGTTTGTAGGAATTTGGTATACGTTTCAGTTGAAGTAAACGTGCATGGAAATAATTTAAATATTTGACTTAAGTATTTGTAACCATTTGTAATGTTTGCGGTATAAATTCGTTGGTGACGTTCATCCTTGGAAAGGATATATACTTTTTCGCGATCAGGTAATTTCATATATGTGCTTTTTACCGAGTTTAAAGATTCACAGAATTTTTTTGCATTTTCGTGCAAATTTTTGTAATTTATGAGAAAATAGCAGTGTAGATGGATAAAGTTAAGAGAATGTGCAATGCCATTTTTGTGCAATTCTGGGATGTTTTTTTAAGTAAAAATAAGTTGACGTGTAAATGGTTATTGTATGTGCTATTCCGCACAAGGAGTTTGCGATTGTGCACTTTTTCCCAATTTTGCAGTTAAATTTGTCATGATTAAGCAGTTTTGTTACATAAATTCTAGCAAAGTGTAATTGGCTAGTAGATTGTTGGAAAAAGTGTTCAGTAAATAAAAAGAAAAGAAACATTTTTTACTTCATGAAGACAAATGGCGGCGAAAAAAAAATAGAGGGTTGCTGTAGCAGAGTTGGTCGCCAAATTTTCGCCAAAAAATCGCCAAGTTACCATAATCCAAAGATCAACCTAATTTTTTTCCATTTTTTCCTGACAGCCTTTTTACAAGTTAAGCAAATATTTGCACAGTCCAAAGTTTTACTCACCTCAGATGAAACACTTTAGCTCTACTTTCAAAGTAATTTTACCTTTCAGATTACAAGAATAGTACTAAAAATTAACAGCACCTTTAAATCTTTTCAAATAAAACAAATAACAAATACATAAATTACATACTTTAAGAAGATCTATATTTTTCTTATAAAGTTCCATGACTTCATTTTCTAAAATGGGTTCCTTATTTGACATACAAAATAATCCTATGACATCTAATCCAGGTAAGAAAAAGTCTGGAGAAGCTGAAATGGCCATACAAAATGTTTCTGCGCCTGTATTCCATCCTGCAATATAGCCAGCAGGTTCTTCAATTTGTAAAAAACGCTATATAAAAAAATTAATTAAGAAAATTATTTATATTATTAAACAAGTTTAATAACATATACATTCATTATAAAATGGGAATTATAGTATTATTATATTGAATAAAGAAGAACATGAATATGAAGACTTTAAATTCAAAAGTTTAACTGAAAGTTAAAACACATAATTTGAAAGCATAGTAATTTTTCTTAATCAGTTTTCCTTCAGTTTCATAGTACTATCAAAATTCAGTTGACACATACATATACAGAATGTACAAGGAATAGGTCAAAATATTTATTTACATTACTCCTCTGTAATATATGAGCTATATAACAAACATACATATGTTTCTCATTATATGCATTTATGCTATTTGTTTTAATATTTCATTTATATGACATATAGCTTTGATTTTACACATATTTCCCCTCAATTAATTCATATTCCTTTTTTACAGCCTAAACAGTTTCTCCATACATTATTATTATTTTTTTTTTCCAATAACATCTGAAAATTTTACTTGGGGACATAAGGGTAAGAACAAAGATGTATGAATAAAATACACTGGTACATTTGAAATCTGATTAGTGGAAGAAAATGTCATCTGCTCAGCTAGAAGAGACAGTGGATTATATTAATCAGACACGTTTGTTGGTGGCTGTTACTTCATATCTCCAATATTTTATAAACTCGACTACTTAACCTTTGAGCTCTTCCTTAAATTTAACTAGAATTTATAATTTCAGAAAATATTTCACAAAATTTCTAGAAAAACGGGCACTCTCAGTAAAAGACAAAACTGAAATTTGAAAAGAACACAGAATTGGAAAAATAGGATAATAAAAAAAATTCATTATTACTGTGCAAATACTAAAATTGAGTTTAAACAATGTTAATGACACTAAATACCAGGTTATTTGTATACAGTAAAGCACATAAGGGCTATCTGCCTAAGAAAATAGATGACTTCATGGTGGACATTCTACGGCAAACTAGCTCGTTACAGATGATAAAAACCACAATAACCAATCAGGCAGCTAGCCAGTTTGCCTAGGATCAAACTCCTTACATTTAGCAATTACACCAAAGAGCCTTAAACTTTGTCATAGGCCGAGTATCCAAAAATACTGTAGGGAAATCTGTTGAAAACTCTTTCAGTAATTTATCCAAAGAAATGAACTAATATCAGCCGAGTCATTTTTTTATGCTTATAAAACTGTTTCCTTATTTCATTCCATGCCTGCAAAAAGTCTAGCTTTCAAAAGGCTACCTCACTATTTTAGTCTGTACAAATGCTCATGTAATCAAAAAAATAATACTTCTAATTGCAGGAAAGTATTTTTGAAAAATAAATAAAAAAGGTATCAACAGTGGTCAAACAATTTCATTACCATGAAAAATAAATAAGAGTGCAAAGATACACTGTAAGGTTTATCCTAAGCTTTTATCTTCAGTTAAAGCTACTTAAAGCTACTGCCCTTCCTAATTTCAGCTTACAATTTCCTACCTGAATGTGTTTTTAGAATCACGTTTAATGCAAATGAGTGGTAGTTAAAGTCGAAGTTCCACTGACTTTGTTCAAGAGCCTCTGAGTTTCTGACTAGCGTGCTTTTGCCTTTAGGCTATCACTCTCTCAAAGCTACTAATACGCTCAGCCATATTTCAGGCTCTTGATAGCTTTGTCAATTACTTAGAATCTTGACAGATTCGGCTGTATCTTTTTAGCTAAGAAATGTTAAGTAAGTTTTAGTTCTTATTACTTTAAGTTCAAGCCCAAGTGGATATTTTGTTGTGTGCTCTGAGAAAGGAATCATTTTTCTGAGAAAGGAAGGCTCTGAGAAAGGAATCATTGTTTTAGTTCATGAACTAAAACAATTATTCGCTTAGTTGTTCATGAGATTCCTGTACATTTAGCTGTTAGATAAAAGAGTGGAACCCTACAATACATTTAAATAGAATGTCTCAAAATTAAAAAAGGAGTAACACAATGAAACCTTAATTTTTTTTTCACATTAAATGCAATCACTTAGAATTTTCATTACTCTATAAACAAAACACAATTCTGTCTAAAATTTGGATAATATCACTTGGAATTTTCATTACTTTAAAAACAAAACACAATTCTGTCCAAAATTTGGATAATATTTTGAATAAATTAAAATTGAGATGATAAATTTCTGTAACAGCAGTAGCCTCAGAATTGTACATCTAACACATACATCTTACAACAAAAATTTTGATTATGCACCTCTTTTGAATGATGTCGAAAAATATTTCCTATACAAATGATGCAAACAAATATTTGCTTATGCTTATACATATAGTTATGTCATATTACATGCTCCATGAAGTGTAAAAAAGCAGTATGTGATATTTATTTGGTCTAGAAAAACAGGATCACTTAACAGACACGACTAACTCATATGAAAAAGTTCCGAATGTCTGACCAAGGTAAAAGGTACTATGTATAAGAGGTTGCAGATATTGTCAACAGGTCAAAGAGCCAGTATTGCAGTGACTTACTAATAAATGCCAACACAGTTGAAAAGTTAATCTCTAAAATACAAATCAGCATAAAATGTCACCAATTCACTGAAAACTTTACAAGTTTGTGAAAAATGTTTGGTTTGCTTAATTATGGCAAAATATGCAAAAACTATTTACATTAGTAAAGATATGCCTTTGTGAAGAACTTTATAAAAGAAAGTGGCTCATTTAAACTTTATAAAAGAAAGTGGCTCAAGTTACATACGAAAACCACGAAAAAGCCTAAGCAACTTGTCAATTTGCAGGGATCTGAACCCGATCAAACTACCAATGTTTAGTATCATTACTGCTCAGTCGCTGATAAACCTGGCTCTCTTTATAACTTATACTATTGCATTCAGGAAGAATTTTATATATATAAAGCATTTATAAGAAACACATTTTATGAGAAAAGATAAAACAAGGTTGAAACTTTATGGGAAGTATACACTTCACAGAATGTGAACATTCAAGCAAAATCCCACGATATTTGACTAGGCGATTACCTAGTCTGATAAAATCCAATGATTTTTTTTTCTTATTAGTTAGTAACTACACAATTCCATAATCATTTGTCATGATCCCCACCCTCCAAAAAAGGGAAAAAAAGTTGGGAGGGGACATAAATTAATGAAACAATATTTAAATATATATAAATATAAAATGTATAAATCATTATGTACTCAAACATGTGTTGGTTGACTATTTTCACTTATACACTCAAATATATGTAAAAAACAGAGCATTTATACCGAATGTTGAAACTGGGTTTACAGTCAGAAAATAATTAGTAATCTTCATGTAGGACATTCTAGAGGACACATTATAATAGCAAACCACGATACTTATGTATTATTAGCCCATCCATGCAGGCAGAAATTTTAGCAATGGCCACTATTCACTACTGTAAAACTCTAAAGGGCATATGCTTTCATAATTGGCACTATATCGTGCTACTTTGACAGTCAACAGCATAACTCAGATACCCAAACCACTTTGGAATTAGAAAAGAACCACAGCATTTAGTTAATGTAAAACTGCAACAAATATTTAAAAGCAATGTGTATGCTAAGGATTAATATAATACAATCCCCAGATAAGGACCCTTTTAAAGAACGATTCAAAAAGTTACTTGAGTGCAGCAGATGTTCAAATGATTTAATTATATTCTCATCTTCACTTAGTGATGTATACATTTTTAAATAGTCTTCCACATTCAATGAACTTAAGATAGTGTTAAAGCTAAAGAGGGAGGGAGGATGTTTTAAGAATGAAAGGTTCCTCTGATCCAACACTTGAATGAGTGTTCTAATACATGCCTCTAAATGACTACATTAATTTTATGCATCCTGTTAAGCGTAAATACAGTATAAACCTATGCGTAAAATTTCACAAACTGACTAATGTCGCACACACAAAGCTGAACTTGTACAACTGACATAATGAAATTCTGAAGCATTCTCTCATCTTGATCAGCCAACAAAGGTCTAACATTATAGTAATCAGATCAGATTATGAAGTAAAACACTGGCAGTGCAAACTAAATCTGGACAAAATATCTCAGATTTCTTGTCAAAACAATATATGAATATTAAGGTTATTATCATCTGGAAACTAACGCTGTCCACGTTATACAGCTGTTATGAGGAAGTATTATATATAATATATAAAAATAAAATATATAGAAATATAAAAATAAAAGTCACATATCTTCATTGCATTTGCTAGTACTTTTAAAATCGTGAATTAGTATTTAATATTAAATTATGCCGCAGACAATTAAAACCCCCCACCTTCCTCAAATTAAGAGAAACATAAACTTTACGAGTCGGCGACTCCATATGAAACGCTGTCTTCGTCGTGTTACAAACTTGTTGCCAACTAACTTCAGTTAACTTCAGTTGTCTAACTTCAGGTTTCAGTTTTCGGCTCATTTCTTCGTTTGGCGTTTGTTTGGTGCTTTTTACAAGAGTGAAAGAAGAATTAGATTTTTGTCAATTTTCTTTGACTTTTTAAGTGAAAATAGGTCGATGTGTACATGAATAATTTCAAGGGATTGCGCAATGCCTTTTTTGTGTAATTCTGGCTTTTTTTTTAAGTGAAAATAGGTCGAAACGCGCCAATCAGTGGACGATTCTGCACTTTCCTCCAGTTTTCTTCCCAGATTGTCGAATAGTTTCATTTTCTACTAAGAACATATAGTTAATTTAAGTTTCAGGAAGCAGCGGCTCCTTTTACTCTGTATTACGTGAAGAATATCGATGAAACAAAAAGACGAAAGTAAAAGTCAAGTGGCCGCCATCAGTCGACGAAAAAGGTGAGTTTCTCGTTGAAGGCCCAAACCAGTGAACTGAAGAATCTAGTATGAGTAAAAAATGTTAAGGATTGAGAATGGCAGATTGATATTTGTGCTTTTCTCTGGGAAATTGAGAAAATCTAAGAGAGTTGATGCAGTTGTTAGGATGAGTGAGAACTGAATAGAAAAAATTTCTGGCAAGTTTATGAATATAATCTTGAATTGTATCTACTTTGAGATCACAGTGGATATACGAATTTGGAATGAACCATGACGCGTTGATAATCTCTCTGAGTGCTTTGTTTTGAAGAACTTGGATGTGAGTTTTGGCAGCGTGGCCCAAGACAGGACTAGCATAGAGTAATGCTGGTCGAAGTATAGATTTATATAAGAGGAATTTATTAGAAGCGGGCCTATGACTTCTTTTGCCAAGAAGTGGGCGCATAGTTGCAAGCGTGATATTAATTTTTTTCACAGTTTCCCTGAGAAATTTCTGAAAAGTCATTTTTTTTTTATTAAGAATGACTTCTAGATATTTAACTTCGTCAACCCAGTCAATTTCTTTTTCAAACAGAAGAGGTCTAGGTGGAGTGAAATTTGTTTGGCTTTTGCGAAAAATTATTGCTTTTGATTTTTCGGTATTAACTGCAATCCTCCAAAGAGTGAGCCAATTTCTGAGGTAATGTTGAAGAAGGGTCAACAGAAGCTTGGGTCATAATTGCAGTATCATCAGCGAAAAGAGCAATGGTAATTTGTGGGTCCTTAGGAATATCGTAAATGTAATAAATGTTATATAAATATGGAGGAAGTACAGATCCTTGGGGCACTCCGAGCGAACTTGGAGTAAAGGCTATAAATGTGAAGTATTGACAACTATTAATGAATTTAACTTTGGTTAAGTAAATGCTATAGGCGTAGAACAGGAGGAAGTCAACTCGTGGCAAAAAAGCGTGATCAACGGCGCTTGAACCAAAGCAAAAGAGAAGTTACCTGCTTGGGGAAAAAAACAGAAATAGTAAAAAATATTGTAAAGCATTAAAAAATAATGTAAATGTAACAAATGAAGGCAAAACATATGACGCAGGTGAATTTTAAAAGTTTCATTGGATATAATGCATAAATTGTTTCTACCTCTAATTTCGAGTCACATACCAATTTGCGATATGCTTATTTTTCTCAAATTTAATATTATGATATTAAAAATAGTTAAATGATACGGAAATGTTTTCCACTGTCTATATATTCGTATTTAAAGTTAATTTTCTGTTCCTCATGACCCTGTATTAAAGGTAAGTTTGAAGTAAAACTTTAAATTCGGTTTTCTCAAAACAAACTTTTTCGCAGTTCTTATGTCTTGAAAATGCTCCATGAGTCTCATTCTTATTTTAAAATGAATGATGTTTGGAAGAAACTATCTTGTTATACATTACAGTAGATTTGTATATGCATTTTTGGATATGAGGTTATTAAGAAGTTTAAACTTGTGATAATGTTTAACAAGAGGTGATTTTTTCCGAAAACTGGGTTTAAGTTCACAAAAATCCTTTTTAAACATTTCTGATCCATCATAATAAAGGATGCCCAAAAACTTTTGTGAAGTCTTTATAACAAACTTAAAGGAAAAATTAGGGGAAAAAATTGAAAATTAGCGCGCAAGGAGCATTTTAAATCTTTATAAATAAAAATAATTAGTTATTTGTTTAAAAATTTTTTAATTTAAAATAAATTGAAATTTTGAATATATATTTTATAAACTGATGTTATAAATATGTACAACAACTATGTACGTTTGATGTAAAGTGAATCCGAAAATATTTCCTATGTTAAATATGCAAAATTATTTTGTATTGAAAGTAAATTTTATACGTTGAAGGCAAAAGTGCTTGAAAGTTTAAACTCTGTTTCAATGAAATATTTGAAAGAAAGTAAACAATGAATGAGTTAAAGTTAGGCTCTCCATTTACACGAAAGTTTATAATACTTTCGAGGGTTTAGTACACTAAGTATAGTATTAAAAATAAGGTCCCCTTTTAGGTCTGAAGTGTCCAGATTTTTTTTTTTTTCTACTTTTAGGAAGTTGGACATATGGTAGTATTGGTTATTTCCACATATTTCCACACTCATTGCGTAAGAGTACACACGTCTGGCGAGCATTGGGGGAGTGAGTTAAAACTACGAGCGAATGAAATTATGTGTGGACCAAATAAAGTGATGAAATGTAAATTGTACGGGAAAGCTGTAACATATTTTCCTTCCAGATATATTGGAATGAGATATGGATATATGGATGAGAAAACTGTTGTTCCTACTAAAATGTAACAGCAGTCTATTAAAATTAGAAGAGGGTGTCTGTCAGGAATTGTGACATTGTTTAACGCTCAGTAGTCTCCACTCACCTGATTTCTTCTTAGCAAGATGTAAAGGACTCGACCAGTTACTCTTGGATGGTCTGCATAAACCCATTTGGAGTATAAATTCCAACTCCTTTTTATCTGCTTTGAGTTTTTCGGTTGATAGCCTCTGAGCCTCTGATTGAGATAATAATAGCAGTTTTATACGGATCATGTACGGCATTTAATACTGGAATATTGCTATTATTTTGAAAACAAGCAGTTTCATTAATTGTTAACAATGTAGTGCCATCATTCAACTTGCGATTTTTGGATTCTACCAAAAGTATTTTCAAGAAAATTCATACTGATTATCGGTCTGTTCACTTCCGCAATTACAATGGGCCAACTGAGGGATCATCTAAGTCCAAGATCAAGCTTGAGTAGTTTTTGGCCATATATCTTGATTTTCGTGCCATTTGCAGCAAACAATTCTAATTTGGAGTCGATTCTCTTATGTGCAGGTGATGTAGGAATGACGGACAGTTCTGCCTCTTTATGTGTTAAAAACTGGGTGGCCGATTCTTTTTAGCTGATGAAAAGACGATTCAGCTCCTCCTCTTGTTTCTCTGTCGTCAATGAGAGAATGGGTTACACGATTGTTTACACTTAAATGGAATTCTCACCGAATGTTTTGCGATAGTAACAGATATCACAGGACTTGTTATCGCTGTAACTTTTATCTCTTGATTTGGATCGGGAACCATGATAGGGACGACTGAGCCATTGTCTGGATAACGTAGAAACTTTAAGCTAAATTCACTAACCTCTTATTTTTGTAAGCTTTCAATCAGTTATGTGTTTACGGCTATGGGCGAAGTAGCAGCTGTATGGGGGTTCAAATGATTTAATTCCCAAATCGAAAGTGGCGATAATGGCTCATGAGCCATTATCACCACTTTCAATAAATCTTCACCACTAACAGATATAATGTTGCGCATATTAACTGGTAGATACTGGAGTCACAATGTCTTTAGGAAAGTACAACTTTGTCCTACCTAAAGTGGCTACTTTGTCGCCTGCCAAATTAAGCATTTCACACAGCAGTTGAAATGTTTTTTTTTTTTTTTTTTTTCCCCACCACCGAGTTCTAGTTTACTTTGTAATTTCTAGGTTTTCTGAGTCTCCGGGTCGGCATATAATGAAATATGTGGTGGACTAAGTAAAATATCCGATTCGATAGAACTTATCACATAATCATACTTTGTTAGGTCAACAGTTACTTGTTTTCGCATTTCTAAATTGTGTTCTAGGTGGAAAAACCATATTTTCGGATTTGGTTTCCAGAAAGAAGGCATTTTGATGCTTATCCTGGAGACAGCCGAGGGTGTTACATTAGCTGCAGTTTGTTTACTTTCAGGTGCACTTTCAGGATTAGCAAGTTACTTTCATCGTCGTAGAATTTGGCTCAAACGATATACCTTTATTCAGTTTATTTAATTTTTTTTATAGCTTAAGCTTTTACAATTAAAGATTGCTTAGTAAAAACTAGTGTTTTTTTAGTTCGTTTACTTTTAACACAATTCAATAAATTTATCAGCCTAATTGTACACATTACCACCGAAGACAGTCTGCAACATAGAACAAATTTAAAATTTTAAAGATAACTTACCCCTTTTAGAAGTATTTTAGCCCCACGTATGCTCGGAATTTTATACTTTTCAGATGAATAAAAATAATCGAACCATCGATTCTTAATGTAATCAATGCGAACAAGAAGCACTCCGAAATCGAAACTATTACTCAATCCATAATTGACCTCGGGAAAAAAAAAAAAAAAAGACTACGGAACTTTACACTGGGGAAGTAGCTGCTTACAATGCTGTCCATAACAAATAATTAATAACAGGTGAACTATTTATAACATGCATACAATGTCAATGATATCTCATCATTTTACGGAAATATCGCACGGCATGAGAAACATGAATTCATAGTGCATATAAATACTTGATTACTTAATAATGGAGACTAGACTTACGGCCATCTCATACTTTTTCGTTTCGAGTCTCGTTTGATCTCACGAAACACAAGCAGTGAAAATCCTCTCAACACTTTCACATATGGAGGCACGAGAAGTGATAAAATGACAGAATATAAATCACGAGTTTATACTTAGTGAATTAAATTCGGCTTTATAAGCAACTTAAGAGTTAAAACAAAAACATCGCAAGTGCTTTAGTTAATGCAAACATTTTGCTAAATAATATGCAAAAATATTCTAAGCTTAAGTCAAAACAAGGGATTATCAGCAAGTTCAGAAAATCAGCAACCATTTTGACATCGAAATTTGGTCGGTATAAGCTAACTCAAGATGCAGCTGATCTAATCGCCGTTATACTCTATGAAGTAAACAAGAAACTTATTGATTCTTGTATATCTAATAGTGGAAAAGGAGAAGTATCTCCAAAAAATGTTGTACAAGTTATCAAAACTCTACTATCCAAGGAAATGAGCAGATGCGCATTAGCTACAGCAAATCTTAAAATAGTTTCGCACCAATCAGGTAAGAAAATTAAACTCCTTTATTTAGATGGTGCAGAAAACCTTATTATGTTCGGTATTATAGCGTTCTTATAGCGCCGTCTTAAAATTTAGGTATTATGAACACTGCTCGGGTGCCCTCCTAAGAGTACAAGGATTTATAATTTGCCCTATTTACTGTTACATTTGTGTGAAATATTTTAGATCATATATATTTTTCGTTACTTAGTGTTAGCGCAACATCCTTGGCGCAGTTTGGCGATTTTTTACAGAGGGGAGAAGCGATTCGGAGAATTTTCGGATTGCGACTTATATTGTTATGTTATTTAATTACGGTAAAGCCTCGAGGGCTATCTGCCTAAGGGGAGGGATGCCTTCGTGGAGGACTTTCTAAGGGAAACTGGCTCGTATACACGTTACACATGGGGAAAACCACGAAAACACCCATGTAGCCAGCCCGTTCGTGGGATTCGAACCTCGGACCGAACTACCAGTGTTCAGCGACTTTACCGCTCGGCCGCTGGTGGGCGCGACTTATATTGAATATGCTTACTGTTATGCGTATAGTTGCCAGAGTTAGGCGACTTCTACAAAGGTGGCTGCGATATTACGTAAGTACCTATTTTTCTTGCGCTGCTGCTCAACAGTGTACCTATGATGCAATATTTCATCTTTTATGCAATGTAAACTATTACTGCTTTTTGCAAAAACCAATTTAAATTTTATAGCTGTTGATGAATGCGGCTTGACAAAGCTGTTTCTGAAGAAAGAAAAAGTACATCGACGAAGGTATTTAAATAACATACATAAAATACAGTACATACAAATACAGTACATACAAACAAAGGTATTTAAATCGCTATATGAATCATAAAGCAAATGATAAAACATTTCTTTAAATCCATTCCTTTAATTTTAGCAAAGAATCGGGATTTAGAAGGTTTTTGGGTGAATCTTTACATCATGGTAACTTGGCGATTTTTTGGCGAAAATTTGGGGACCAACCCTGCTACAGGAACCTGCTGGTTTTGTTTTCACGAAATAAAGGCATTTTTTTTTTTTTTTTTTTTTTTCTCAACATTTTTTCCAACAATCTGCTAGCCGAATTACGCTTATACTAGAACTTTTATGGAACAAAAATGCTTAATCATGACGAAGATTAGGTGCGAAATTGGGAGAAAGTGCAGAATCGCAAACTGCTTGCCGCGTTTTCAAGAATTGCACATACACGGTATCCATGTACACGTCGACCTATTTTCACTTAAAAAAACATCCCAAATTTGCACAAAAATGGCATTGCGCACACTCTTGACTTTATCTATGTAGACATCGACCTATTTTCACTTAAAAAGTCAAAGAAAATTGATAAAAATCCAATTCTTCTTATTCTTGTAAAAAGCGCCAAACCAATAAGTGGACGATTCTGCACTTTAGCAGCGGAATTGTTTCTAAGTGTTTATTAGCTAAAATCACGATCGGAATTTTCCGGAAAATGTCACATTACATGTCTCATGATCTCTCATTTCTCCGAGACAAAATAATCTGTGATTCAAACTGTGTACTTCTCAGATTATTGCTAAAGTCCTAGCTAGTAACCTTTATCGCCTTACCAAAATGTCGCCAAACTACCTGTTACCATATGCTAAAGATTAGCCGTTTTTTTAATGTGTTTGTTACACATATATATTTTTTAATTTCTCTGCCATCCTGCTGTTCTAGAAATTTCAATATAAATAAAATATATTAAATGCAGTTATATTAATATAATAATTCAGTGTTTACCTGCTATAAACAGTAATGTTTTTGTTTGTTGTTGCTAATGCTCACCTGTCAGACCTTTACTGAGTCCAAGCCCACGCGATTCCTGGTGGCAAGGAGCGCAAGTTTACGCCTGTTGTTGGCAATTGCCTTCCTTCAGTACCTAACAGAAGACAGTGCGGTTTAGCTCAGTTCCGCCTTCAATTTTGTTAGAGAGCATCCTGGTGGGTCGAGTCCAAGGGTCTTTCCCTACCACCAACCTCTCGAGAGGACTTTCGGCTCGCCGCATATTTAGAGTACCCCCATGCCGCGCGGACACTATACATTTACAAACATCCATGCCTTCTCGAAAGCGAGTCCTTCGGTACGGCAGTTAGTGACGCTAACCGCCACACCGGTTGGGCGATTATAAACATTAATAATTCTACCTGGTAACCGTACACGAGACAGATGTCCCATAATTAGAATGAGGAGGCTATTTTCTCACAGCTAAGCTTTTATTTGAATACGGGAGTTTATGAAAATGATTCTTGAATGCTGATTAACATGGTCTCTTTATTCGAACATGCATAGATAGGTAGATAGTGAAATTTAACCTGCGAGAAAAACCCGCATCTACCGGCGAGGTCACTTTTTAAAGGGAACCACAAAGGGCATTCATAAATCACTAAAAAAAAAATAATTAATTTGTAGTGAAAGATTGCACTGAATTGTTGAAAGATTAATTAATTCACATAAAAGGCATTAATAATAAAAAATTAATTAATTTAATCTCTTTCACACCCAAGTACTGCTAATAAAAAATTGGTACTTTCTGATATGCGGTAAAGGGGCACTCAAAATAAGCCGAAATCTTCTTAAAAGATTAGTGGTAGGGAAGAGGAGTGGGAGACTCTTGGACCGCACCATGGAGGTAAGAAAGGGAGGAGGGGCCATTCCGCGCTAGAAGTGAAGCACTGCTTTGAAGCTTGGGTCACCAGACGGGGTGTTGTTTGTTTACATTCAGAAGCTCGCTTGACAAGATTCTGATAGTATTTCGACACACGACAGTTCCATAGAAATCGAAAAAGGGACACTCTCGCATGAAAGAAACATTCATAGTGTAATGGATAATAGCAATTTGTATAGTTTACTGACATTTACGCAAAAAATCACATCTTGGTTATTTTTCGATAACTAACAACAGCGATTTTGATTATGAATTTGTTTTATAAAATTTCTAAAGCAGTTGCACTACAAAAATAGATTTTAAGAAAATTGCTAAAAGAGATCTGCCAAAATTTATTTTCTAGAAGATTTGAAAATTTTGAAACTTGATGGCTAAATGTAAATATAAAATTATGTATGTTAAAATATTTGTAATTAGGCACATAGGTCAGATTAAGTTTTTATTAAATAGAGTAACGCATGCAAGGGCTATCTGCCTAAAGAGAGAGATGCCATCGTGGAGGAAATTTTTGAAGAAAAATGACCTTTGAGTGGGTATTAAAAATAATACTTATAATTTTCATTCAAATTATATTCATATATATTTATGTAAAAACTTTCGGGTGTATGCTAAATTAGTGTAAATTACTTTACACGAAAAATATAGTGAATGCACAGAAATTAAAGATTTGCACATGCCGACAAATGATAAATAGGAAATATGTATGGGGATTTATGCATGTGCTTGCAAAAAGCATGTATCTGCCTTTGACAAAAATACTTAAATATTCATAAATTATTATAAAATGTATTGAAATGAAGAATAAAGATTTATTCACTTATAAACAACTGTGATAGTACTGTGAAGAAATCTAATGATTAAATGTATCTAATTTATAATGATTATAAATGTTATCTAAATATATCTAAATACCTTAATATTGAATTGTAAACATAAATTGAAATCCTGTTGACAAATACGTTATAAAACTATTTAAGCAAGAATTGTTCGTATTGGAAAGCAATCTGTTAAAAGGTATTGTAAAGCAAATGCTATGAGATGCGCACTTAAGAACGTAATAAAGAGTTTTGGAATATGTATTGTTGAAATGAAGGGTAAAAAAAAAATCTGATAAGTATAATTAAAAGAATTATTCCCTTTACATTTTATAATAACTCAGTTACAAGTTTTCAATAATACTTTAAAAAAAAACTTATTTTATTCCCTTTCAGAAATGTTCAGAGAAAGTCAAATACTATTTAATTCCTAATAATTCTCTAATTTAAAATGAACCGAATAGAGCATTAATTATAAATTGACTTACATTTTTCGATTTAAAAGAAGCCAAAAAATCATGTCATATTTAAGAAAGTATTTTAGGAAGAAGCTCTATAAATAGAAAAAAAATAATGCATAATTTTAATATTAATAATACAATAAACTTTGATCTTAATTTTTGTACCTTAACCGAATAAAACCGAATTACCTTAATTTTTTTTTCTAATGTAATTAACGAAAACTTGTGAAAATATTTCATTCAAATAAACCATTCTGAGAAAAACTGTCCTGTGAAAAGTATAGCATTTAATTCCGTTCAGAATGAAAGGTTATTTAAAAATATGTTGTTTTCACATACTTAGGACTCTGAAGTGTTGTAGAAAAAGAAAATATATACATTTATATGTATATTTGCGACGTAATTACAAAATATTTACACCCGAACGCGTCAAATCCCATAGAACTCAATGGTAAATGACCCAATGTTTTGGTCACCACGTAGGGATCGCCGGTGCTTCAGAGCAGGGTACGGAGAAACTTGTTTAGGGCGACTCCTTCTTACTTCCTACCTCCATGGACCGCACCCCGGGATCGGAGTTCCATCCCGGCCGAAGCTTAGCAGCTAACAAGACCCGGCCACTTGGGGTGGAAATGCCCAAGCACCCTGAGAACAAGAACCCAGAAAAAAGGGCCTCCCACCCCTCTTCTCCTACTACGAAACTACACGAGAGGACTTTCGGCTCACCATATATTTAGAGTGCCCCCCATGCCGCAAAGACACTATATATTAACAAACATCCATGCCCTCTCCAGGATTCGAACCTGTGCCCTTCAATACCCTAACCACTATACCGTTTGGGTAGCATAAAACTTAGTTAGCATGTGCTATACACTATTGGTGATGTGTCATGAGAGTGGTGTCTATTAAATAGAATAATGGTGTCCATAAAATTCTAATAATTTAAAGATTTACAAAAATCTCTATATGAAAATGCAACATGAGGCTTAATAGAATTCTTAATTTATAATGTTTTTTAAAAATATGCAAGAAAATACTAAGCATTTTGTGAGAAAATTTTAATATAAAATAACACACTTTTTCTTATCTTTTCAATTGGCTTCAATTGGCTATAACGCCCACCAGCGGCCGAGCGGTTAAAGTCGCTGAAACACTGGTAGTTCGGTCCGAGGTTCGAATCCCGCGAACGGGCTGGCTGCATGGACGTTTTCGTGGCTTTCCCCATGTGTGACGTGTATACGAGCCAGTTTCCCTTAGAAAGTCCTCCACGAAGGCATCCCTCCCCTTAGGCAGATAGCCCTAGTGTGCTTTGCCATAATTAAATACACCACAAATTGGCTATAACGACATTGACAACTACTAAGGCCAGAAATGGCGCCCATTTTATAGCGGAGGCACCTCATAGGTGGCTACCTCTACCATCCTATGAAGGGACAGACAATTTTGCATCCTTTCCATCTCCGGGATTCGAACCCGGGCCCTTCCGGTATCGCAGATAGGCGCCTCCTAACCACTAATACCGCCTAGGCGGCTCTTACGTTTTCATTATCTTATCTTTCATTATGTTATCTTATATTCATTATCTTATCGTTTCATTATCAGGTAAATTAGGTCATAAAGTTATGTCTGAGCAGAAAACGAAGGGAGCAGCAGTGAAGCCTGAAATATTTAAAAAAGGCCTAATCCAACTAGCTACATTAGCTCACAGACACTACTCTCTCTCTCCAGATGTTCGAACAATTATGAGTATCATTTACAAATTAGTAGCTAAATTGTCTTTGAAAGCTGTAACTGAAATTGGCGAAAAATCTGAAATGGAACTAAAAGATGTTGTATCTACAGTGCGAGCATTTTTGCCATCGGATCTTTACTCACATGCAGACAGCCACGCATCTGAGAACGTTAGCCGGTACGAAAATGGTAAGTCATTTATTTGTTAGTAACTTAAAGCTAAAATTTAATTGTAAAAGCTAACTTTTAAATTATCTTGGGTTAAAAAAAAAAAAAAAAAACCATAAAATATGAAATTAGAGTTAAAATCTAGACGAAAATACCTAATTTTACATAATAGAATTTTTTTTACCATAAAGATCCTGGAAAATTTAAGAAATTATTTAATTGTCATATTAGATTAAGAAATCCATTTACAACTGTATGTTAAGAATTGAATTTAGGCCCAGGTATGTATTACTTAAAGATTTCTTTAAAATATGTAATAAAATTATTATTTTTTTTAGAAAAAAACACTTATGATAATCTGAAAATTAATTATTCATACTTTAAGGCTTCAAACAGACTGGTCAGAGGTATATTTTAATATCCTTTCAATGAATGCCATTTAGTCTAATCTTAACCTTGAAAAAAACCGTGCATATAGCCTTGTTAATTATTTTATTTTATCTTTTTGTATCAGTAACTCTGTTAAATGTTTACTGTCATGCTCAATGTATTATACAGCTGATTAACTTAGTCATTACTTTAGCTATCGTTACGAAACTTCCTATAATTCTTTTCTGGGTCCTGGAAAAAATTAACTTTCACTTCACAAAAAAAAAAAAAAAAAAATAAAAAAAATAGAGATATTAATTAAAAATTCTGAAAACGCTAATTTTCGCCCTCATATATTTCGAGTGGCAGCAGTCTCGCACGGTGGAGATAAAAATCTGCTTTATTTCGAGAAGTGTTGCCACTGCTCGCTTTCAAATCGTAGAGTTTATTAATAAAAACTTTCTAAGTTTTTCAATGAAATAAAAATAGCATTGCCAAACATTAAACAATTTATTCTCGATTCCAAAATTTCGTAGGAAGCCGTTTCGACTGTTCCCATCTTCGTATAACTTTAATCAGCAGAGATATTAATTAAAAACTCTGAAAACACTCATTTTTTCACTCATTTTTCCGAGTGGCAACAGTCTCGAAAGTTGGAGATAAAAATGCTTTCGAAAAGTGTTGCTACTACTGCTCGCTTTCAGATCGTACAGCTTGTTAACCAAAAATTTGTAAGTTTTACAAAATCCATATATATATAAAGAAGAATGTCTGTTCTCTTTATTAATTTCTGATCAATTATGATCTATTTTTGCCACATTTAATCGACTAAAATTAAATATAGGTGAAATATTGGATGGAACTTGAGCTTTTTCGACCATTCGATTAAAAAGACGAAAATCATTAAAAACTACATGCCATTGTTGCTGATATAAGGAGGAGAATTAGTTAATTTTTCTATGGAAACTTTTTATATGGGTTGCATATCGCGTCAAACTGAAAAATATATGACTATGAATCGTGTTTTTTGCATCTTTATTACAGAAGGATTACAGCGGTGTCGTTCTCTCTCTGCTGTTAGATACATTACTCTCAGTCTAACTTAACTGGCATAGGGTACTACTTTATATAATATTTTAACAATTCATACGACTTAGTTACAGAGGCAATTTTCATATCATGTAAGAAAGATCTTGGAATGGTACATCGGATATTGTCTTTCTTTGGATATCCAAACTACTTCTGTATGGATGTACATAAATCAAAAGACAGTACATTTGTATGATAATATTTGTATAATAATGATACTGAACTCTAAAAAGATAGTAAGAAGATAACTCTGAGACACACTTTGAAATTTCGAAATCAGTTTGATAAGAACCGAAAGGAAGACTAATCGAAACTATCAGGAAGGTAATTTATTACAGACAGATATGCAGGTAGACGTAATGGGAGAGTGTCTGAGTAGTATAAAGCATGTTGTCGGTGTAAGATCAGTATTTCTGGCAAAGAGATTGCACGCCGTATAGCAGTTAAAATCACACCGAGTTGCTGCCTCAGCGAGAAATGGCGAATAATCAATCTGTTAGACGACATCTGGATGCTTTTACCCGAGGTCGAATCATTGGGAAGTTGGAGGAAGGCCGCAGTGTGACAAGTGTGGCTGCAGAGTTCGGAATTGCTCACAGCATCGTTTCACGACTTTGGAGACAATTTCAAACTACAGGAACAGCTATCCGGGGGTTTAGTAGTGGTCGTCCACGAGGAACCACACCCGCAGATGACCGGTATATTGCCTTACAGGCCAGAAGAAACAGGCGGCAGACAGCGGGAGAAATCGCTAGACACACGACACAGGCGACTGGACGACCGATATCGCGTTTTACCGTGGCCAGAAGACGGTGGTGGTCTGTTTGCACGACGCCCTGTACGGTGTGTACCTCTAACGCCTGCCCATCGGAGAAGGCGTTCTCTGTGGTGCCGGGAACACCGGAATTGGAGAGACAATGAATGGGGACGAGTACTCTTTACAGATGAGAGCAGATTCAGTCTGAGTAGCGATTCTCATCGCATACTCATCTAGAGAAAGCGAGGAAGCCGCAATCTTCCCTCGAACATCATTGAAAGGGACAGGTATGGAAGGTGGCGGTGTTGTCGTTTGGGGAGGCATCATGCTTGGTAGTCGTACAGACCTTCACATCTTCGACGCAGGTTCAGTCAACGGGACCCGTTATTGTAACGAGATTCTTCTTCCATATGTGCGTCTTTTTAGAGGCGCTATGGGTCCGCAGTTCCTTTTCATGGACGACAATGCACCATGTCATCGCACAGTAGCTGCCGAACAGCTCTTAGAGAGTGAGGATATTGAACGTATGGATTGGCCGGCACGATCTCCGGATCTCAATCCCATCGAGCATGTATGGGATTTTCTAGGCAGACGCTTGACAGCTCGTACCTTACCACCAGTAACGATTCCGGAGCTTCGATTGGCGCTGCAAGACGAATGGGCAGCAATGCCTCAACAACTCATTGACACCCTCATTCTCAGCATGGGCAGACGCTGTGAAACCTGCCTAGCAGTCAGGGGAGATCATATCCCCCTATTAAAGACCGGATGTTTCTTGCTGGACACCCATCACAGGGATGTTTCGGCCTTCAGTCGCATTGCGCTCCATGCTACTTTTTCAATAAAGCTTCTTTTTATCCCTCTGATTTCTCTTTTAGTAAGTGTTGCTTACATTACTCATGTCCTTACGTATTGGGGATCTTACGGTATTAAATGTGTTGATTTGGAAAGCTTTTGTACAAAGTTATATTGAAAAAACCGTCTCGTCCTTAATTTTTGCACATCAGTGTATTATTATTTTAAGCATGCTTCTATTTTAAGTAATTTTTAAGTATTTATTAAAATCGATTTTATTTTACTTCACTATTGTGAACTTTATTACTCCTTCCACGCAAAAATAGGCTATATGCAATGCTTGCATTCTCGAAACAGTAGTATTATAAAGAATCTGTAGACTGTGAACAGTCTGCTATAAATTATAATTCTTTTCTCAATTTTTTAGATCTGCTGGATTTCAAAATTAAACCATTTTCCGAAGAGCATCTCTCGGACACTCCAAAACAGTCAGATGTACTTCGACCTGGTTTGAAAAATTTAGCTCACCAAGTATGTTCTTACAGTTTCATTTAACGATAAATTGCGTGATCGATTACTTTATCCAAGATCGAGGGGGGGATTTGTGTATTATTAGTTGTATATATTAATGTTAACTTAGCTCTACGCTTATTCGAACTAATTTTTTATAGGATTGTCGGAAATATAGAACTAGTTCTCCTAAACATCTAACGGCTTTTAACAGAAGTTATTTCTAGATTTGGAGACATGTCACTCTGTATCTACTTAACTATTACAGTATACTGATCAAATATAAAATATAAGCAGAATTTTATTTCGCCACTATTGGTTGGTGTTGAAACATTTAAAATAATGACAAAGCAAAGGGAATGTTTCTTTCATGACCTACAATAACTGCCTTCAAGTTAAGATTCCGAACTAATTACACAATGTTCTAATTCAAATCTTCAAAAACCTGGGGTGTAATGGAAATGTCATTTCCTAACAACATACCGAGCACAGGCAAGCCTATTGGCAACTCATTCACTACTAAACAGTCACTCTCGGAGGCAAGGCGGTAACAATGACAATGCAAGTTTCATTAGGTTGACGATTAAGATTAACTTTTAATCCTTTGACGACTAGTGCCAGTTATACCCGGCATCTACTAAAGGCATCATATTGATCAGTACAGTTATGTCTGGTTCAACTAAATAAGAAAACATACTAGATGGTGAGCGAGATTAATTCAGGAACTAATCATAAATATGAATTATATAAACACAGCTCATCGAAGGAAAGGCGATTAAATGTACTAATGTACTTCTGCACAGACAAAGGTTGGCCGGCCAACTGGAGTTTTAGCATGTCGGCTCTGAGCTTCAACTGCGAATACGTCTTCATCAATTGGTTTTGTGGCAAGTTTCCTAGGTTGTCCTTTACCGTATATAATAAACAATATTCAGTTTGGAAAGTATGGTGCTTGTTTAACGAAGGTGTGACTGCTACCAGATTGCTGAAAGTTTCACCTGTTGAGAGACTCGGATGGAAAAAAAAAAAAAAAAATGCCTGATCTATATTTATCAAAGGACTAAGTAAACGTTCCTCAAGACAAGAGAGAAAGTACGTAAGCGTTCTTTAAAAGTTTTTACTTTCCTTAAAAGAGTACGTAAACAACTAATGCAATTCAGTGCTCGAATGAGAGAGCGAAGATACATCACTTTGCTAAGTGTGGTGTTGTTGCTTTGCCTTGTAGAGACATTAGGTTGTTTTGAGGAAACAATGCATGAAAAATTAGCAATGCCCTCTCCGGTACTCGAACGACGGACTTCTCGAATACGCGCCGAGTATGCTGACCATTATACCACGAAGGCATGCTAAGAAAGCGGGAGAAATGTCTTAAATACTCCCCGCTTTTAAAGGGCGACAGGGGATTAGGGGACCCAATCGGCAAATCCATGGAGGTAGGAAAGGAAGGAGGGGCCAGTCCGCACTAGAAGTGAAGCACTACTTTGAAGCTTGGGTCACCAGATGGGGTGTTCTTTGTTTACATTCAGAAGCTCGCTTGACACGGTTCTGATAGTATTTCGACACACGACAGTTCCATACAAATCGAAAAAGGGACACTTTCGCATGAAAGAAACTTTCATAGTGTGATGGATAATAGCAATTTGTATAGTTTAGTGACATTTACGCAAAAATCACATCTTGGTTATTTTTCGATAACTAACAACAGCGATTTTGATTATGAATTTGTTTTATAACATTCTAAGCTGTTGAACTACAAAAATATAGATTTCAAGAAAAATGTTCTACTTAAAAGAATGAAAAATACCTTACGGTACATTTAAAATTGTATACGTCTTTCGATACCCTTGATAAAGTATTCGCTACTTTTATTTTATTTTCCAAACGCCAAAATGTTTTAAATAAAACAAATTTTTTTCACATCCATATATTATTGTTGCATATTATTGCAAAAAGCATGTATCTGCCTTTGACAGAATACATAAATATTCATTAAATTATTTATAAATGTATTTGAAATGAAGAATTTATTCACTTATAAACAACTGTGAAAGTACTGTGAAGAAATCTAATTATTAAATATATTTAATTTATAGTGATTATAAATGTTATCTAAATATATAATAACCTTAATATTGAATTGTAAACATAAATTGAAATCCTGTTGACAAATACATTATAAAACTATTTAAGCAAGAATTGTTCGTATTGGAAAGCAATCTGTTAAAAGGTATTGTAAAGCAAATGCTATGAGATGTGCACTTAAGAAAGTAATAAAGAGTTTTGGAATATGTATTGTTGAAATGAAGGGTAAAAAAAAATCTTGTAAGTATAATTAAAAGAATTATTCCCCTTATATTTTATAATAACTCAGTTACAAGTTTTAAATAATACTTGAAAAAAAAAATATTTTATTCCCTTTCAGAAATGTTCAGAGAAAGTCAAATACTATTTAATTCCTAATAATTCTCTAATTTAAAATGAACCGAATAGAGCATTAATTATAAATTGACTTACATTTTCCGATTTAAAAGATGCCTCAGAAGCCAAAAAATCATGTCATATTTAAGAAAGTATTTTAGGAAGAAGCTCTATAAATAGAAAAGAAATAATGCATAATTTTAATATTAATAATACAATAAACTTTGATCTTAATTTTTGTACCTTAACCGAATAAAATCGAATTACCTTAATTTTTTTTTTCTAATGTAATTAAACGAAAACTTGTGAAAATATTTCATTCAAATTAAACCATTCTGAGAAAAACTATCCTGTGAAAAGTATAGCATTTAATTCCGTTCAGAATGAAATGTTGTTTAAAAATATGTTGTTTTCATATACTTAGGACTCTGAAGTGTTGTAGAAAAAGAAAATATACATTTATGTATATTTACGACGTAATTACAAAATATTTACATCCGAACGCATCAAATCCCATTGAACTCAATGGTAAATGACCCAATGTTTTGGTCACCACGTAGGGATCGCCGGTGCTTCAGAGAGGGTACGGGAGAAACTTGTTTAGGGCAACTCCATCTTACTTCCTACCTCCATGGGCAAATCCTGGGGGTGAAGCATCATCATTCACCACCTTATTTAGTTCGGGCACCACCGTAGAGTCAATAAACTGAAGAAATGAGCAACGCTCTCGCCAACAGCCGACCTCTTGAATATGCGCTGAGCGTGCTGACCATTAAACTACCTGTCGTGTCACCAGAGGGGCACATACTGAATATTTGTAGAGGGTGTATAAACTTGGTGAATTTGTGGTTCTTTTCATATATCTTTCATGCGCGTACATAAAATACCTTTTGAAAATATAGCCTTTTCAAAATGATGAATCATTTGTGCTAACCCCGTATTTCGGAAATTTTGTATATTTTTTTTTTTTTTTTTGAGGAAAACGAAACTTTAACAGTGGATGCAAAAGATGAAATCGGGTATTCTTTATTGCCCTAATGTTGTTTGCAGACCAAACTTCAAGGTTTCAGAAATGGCCCAGATGGATTTGTTCGAGAAAAGACAATAAATTACCTAATAAAAATAAATAATAATTAACTAATTAAGGTAATTAATAATAAGACAATAAATAATTAATTAATTAAGATAATGATAATAAGACAATTAATTAACTAATTAACCAATAATTTTCGTGTATTTTTCTTCTAATGGCTATCTGAAGCGCAGGCTTTAAAGATAAGACATGGAGGAAAAATAAAACAAAATCGATAGCTTTTGTCTCCTAAGTTTCAGGCTTGAAGATGGCATATTAATCAACATTTTTTGAACAAATCGAGATTAATAACTAAAAAAGAAATTGAAAATGGCTGAATATTTTAATAAAAATTCTTTAAAGGGTCAAAATGATTTTTGAAAGACGTATAGGATTTATAAAAGGATGAATGTGATCACACTGTAAAGTCATTCGAATTTTTGAAGCAGGAGACATGAAAAATGGGCAATGCCTTCGTTGGGACTCGAACCTGGACCTTTCGAATACGCACCGAGTGTGCTAACCGTTACATCACGAACGCATGCTGGAAGGAGGGAGAAAATACCTTATAACATTTATTATTAGTTTGCGGTCCGTTTTCCTGTGAAATAAAATATAAATTTCAAAATTAAGGGCAAAGAAATTAAATTTACTCTGAAGCTCGGTGTAGCTTATACAAGTATATTGATTCTAATAATATGATGACAAGTAAGTAATTATAGTGCTTTTTCTCACTTCTATCTAATATTTATTTTTCTTTTTCGCATCCATCAAAATGATGATGAGAACTACACTAATGAGAATTAAAAAAATACGGCGAAGATTAACCTCATCTCTAACGATCATTAATGATTTTTATGGCCTCACTACGGTTATTATGGCTATGATAATTAGTGTTATGCGTATGACAAACTAATGAATGTAGATATGGTAAGCTAATTATTATGATTATAATAAACTATAATTATTGTGTTTACAATAGCTCTCATCACCAATATTCATTACGGCTAGGATAATCTGAATTTAACTACAACTCAACTGATTATAATTCAAAATTTTCTATAAAGCATTTCATTTGTAAAATTTCAAGAACGTTCTGAGTGAAAGAACTTCCTTTGGGGCTGTAAAAATAATTGTATCATAAATTCGGTTTGATTATTATTATTATTATTATTATTATTTATGTCTTGTATTTCAGCTTCAAGTGTCTTTCGGCAAAGACACGCTCGGTCGATTGGAAGACTTACTGTGGAGTGCATGTGATGGTTTAGCTGAAAAAGCGTCTGAAATTGCCAAACAAGAGAAAGCGAAGACATTATCTATGATTCACTTGTATAATGCAATGAAAACCGCATTCCCGTCGAGACTCTTCCATCAGTCGTGTGCAAATGCCGAGGCGTCCATTCTGAATTATCAGTGCGGTAAGATAGAAGCGTTTCATGTTATACTCGCAGCTCTAAACATGAAATGCATAAACGAAAGTAAGAGAATAGCTTCTCACTTTGCAGTACAAGTCCCCTTTCCCTTTGGATAGATGACAATCCACGTAGTTTCACAAGCTACTAATCGTATTTATTTAATACTTACATTAAAAAAATAAAAGCATACAATTAAAGAATACATTAATAACAGGATTGTATTTCATATACCTTAATGGCCACTATGTGGAGGGAGTTATTAAACATTAGCGCAGCTGGCTCTGATTCGAAAAGACGGCGTAAACAAGCTTAATGGCTAGAATAGCTCAACGCTACAGAAATCTAATTGCTAGATAATCAAAATTAGCAGACAGACAGGCAGAAAACGTTCTAATTTCACTTTCCAAAACCTTATCCACTGTATTTGTTACTAGCTTTCTTCCATATTTCATTTTCTGAATTTTAGCGGTTTCTTAGTACGCAGTCCTCCCTTGTTTCACTCTCTAAACTATGCTTAACTCTGTAGATACATTAGTTTATTCCGAAGGATGAGGCAAGAAAAACGTGCAAAGCCCTCGCTGGGACTCGAGCCTCAGTCCTCTAGAAATACGCTCCGATCATGCTGACCATTGCACCACGAAGGCAGGAGAAATATCTTGTATATTCCCCCTTTTAAAGGGCGACTGGTGATTAGGAAACCATACCGCCAAATCCTGGTGGTGAAGAATCATCATTCACCACCTTTTAGTTCGAGCGCCACTGTAGCGACATTAGGTTATTTGGAAGCAGGAGACATGAAAAATGTGCAATGTCTTCGCCGGGACTCGAACCTCAGACCTCTCGAAATACGCGGCGAGCTTGCTGACCATTAGACCATGAAGGCATGCTAAAAAGACGGGAGAAATACCTTATAACTCTACCTTAATTCATCTTCTTCTTAACTGCGACTACCCTATGGTTAACTTTTAAACGTGAATACTTGTGATGTGATTTCCTGAGAATGTAGTAAGTGTAGAACATAGTAAGAAATAAATATTTGAGTCTGAACTTATAAGAAGTATTATTTTGGATATGTCTCTCTAAAATTTAAATTTTTGCGTTTGAATGTTTTCTTTCAAACATCTTGTTCCGACAACTTTCTGGAGAAGACCTCTCCTGAAAGTGACAAAAGTCTTAAAAAATATAATTAAATAAATATCAGACTAAACATCAAATCTAAAATTATGCAACTGTGAGTGACAGCGATAAGACCTGATACCTGTATACTGCTTATTTTGAATTTAACATGTGTGTTCTAATATGTAAAAGAGTAAAACTGTTATTTTTGTCAGAAAATATGTTATAAAATCTTGCGAGTGAGTGTAAAAACATTTTATGTACTTTTATATTTTGTCCAGTAAGCATTATAGAGGGTGCTTCCCCATTTTTGTAACGATTTGACAACATATAAACAAATCTTAGAATTTTATTTTCTAATATGTTCATCCTGATAACCCTTTTGTTGAACTATCATATTACATCTTGATTTCCAAGCTAAAAGTCTTCTTCTTAAAACACCAAGTTTGATTTTATTCCACTCCTTCTTCATAATCTTCCAGAGTCGTCCACCCAACGTCTGTGGATGCCCATTATATAGAGCTTGTTTTAGAAGTCCGAATGTACAGTAATCCACATGAGACACATTAGCGGGACGTGGGTGGTAGGATGCATTTAAAGAGAATGGCTTCAATTCGGTTTCATTTCTAAATTTTCATAAAATAAATAGAGCAGTAGATTTAGAAGTATGGTTGGGAGCCTTATCCTGATGGAGCTTAACACAGTGAAAATTGTTTGGATAAAGAGATGGAATTTCTTCTTTAAAATAGATGTTAAAATCTATTTATGATAGTAATCCGAATTAATTTTGACATTTTTTTTCTACTTTCCTTATTTTAAGTTTTCCGTTATAAAAGAATCCAGTAATAACCATAAAACCTTTAGGGAAAAACTTTCCTTGTTTTCTCTGAACCAAAATATTAAGTCTTTTTTTCTCCTCTTTTTGGGTAGTAAATCGATCTTTTTCTATTGCAATCAGATAAGTATATCCAAGCCTCATCTATTGTAACTATATATTTCCATTTTTCAACTGCCGAATAATTTTCTTACAGCTATCTGCACATGGTCTTACGCCGAGAAACGTGTTTCGGGATTAAAACCATGCTTTTCACATCTTTTTTTAATAACTGTGTAGAGACATTAGGTATTTTTGGAAGCAGGCAAGAGAGATTGAAAAATTAGCAACGCCTTCGACGGGAATCGAACCATGGAGCTCTGGAATACGCACCCAACGTGCAGACCAGCACACCACGAATGTACGCTAAAAAGGCGGGAGAGATACCTTATATACTCCCCCTTTTAAAGGGCGACTGGGGTTTTTAGGGGACCCAATCGGCACATCCTGGGTGAGGAGACTCATCATCCAACACCCTTTTAGTTCGGGCGCCACTGTAGAGACGTTAGGTATTTTTGAAGCAGGCAAGAGAGATTGAAAAATTAGCAACGCATTCGCCGGGAATCAAACCACGGACTTCTGGAATACGCGCTGAGCGTCCAGACCACCATACCACGAAGGCACGCCAAGAAGGCGGGAGAAATACTTTATAAGTGAATAAGAGTTTTTCTTCGGACAGTGCAAAAATATAGCTTTCCATCCATTGTTAGTTTTTCAGCGACATTTTAAAGAAAAGATTATTTTTAATGCTACAGATGATAATTAAACCCTATTCCAATTGGATGCCAGTCACGTTTATATTTTAAAATTAATTTTTAAATTCATGGTGAAAATCAAAATTGTTACAGAAATGGGTAAATACCCTCTGTATATTATTCTGATTTTGATCAAGTATCACCGGATTAGACTTAAAAAATTATTTATGGAATTTCTAATTTAAGTATGATTTCTCAAAGCGAAGTAATTGAAACGCAGGCGATAACGTTCCATTACATATATATTTTTTTAATAGAAAAGATCTTTTTTCAGGATTGCTTAACTATGAACCACCAACTCTGTTATCAAGAGCAGAAGTAACTACTGAACCGGACTTAAAAGTTGTTACTGCATTAAATTTCAAAAATACTATACGAAGCATCACACAAGATTGTCAGCGGCGTCTTCTCTTTGGAATAGGTTGTTTGGCATTACTTAATGACATTTTAAATGGTAAGTAAAATGCCAAAATGGTAAGTAAAATTATCCGATATACCTCATGTTGGAATTCATGTTGGAACTATCTTATTACTTTTATAACAAACCTTTATTTCTTTACTAAGTTAACTTGTTCAATTTTACAGAATACATATAATTTCTTTATTTAATTTTCAAACCAATATATATAATTTCTTTCTCTAATTTTCAAACCAATGTATATAATTTCTTTATTTAATTTTCAAACCAAATATATAATTTCTTTCTTTAATTTTCAAACCAATATATATTAATTTCTTTCTTAATTTTCAAACCAATATATATAATTTCTTTCTTTAATTTTCAAACCAATATATATATTCATTTCTATTGTGTAATTTTTATAGTGAGTTGTACAGCATAGTGGGATCTATCTTTATTCTAATATTCGGCTATATAAGTATTAAATGATAAAATTACTTTCTTATTTCAAACTGGGTGTAATCAAAATTCTAAGCTTAGAATCTTTAGAATCTGTTTCTGATCAAAGTTTTCTTCAGGATGCTGCTAATATGCACAAATGGTAAAGGGTAATTAGACATGATTTTTAATGATGTTTGGACTATTCTGCAAGAAACTAGTGTACTTTAAAAGGGAAAAAAATTCTTTTTTAATAATTAACTTTACGCAAACTTCAAATAATTATAATCAGATAAATCGATGTATGAGAAGAGCATTTATTGCTGTCAAAAATGAACAAATTTTAATTTTTCAGTAATATTTTGACTTGAAATTTAACGAAAAGTAAAATTCACATTTGGATGTAGTGCGGTTAAATTTGTAAAAAAAACGCTCCCAAAAGTTTAAAAAAAAAAAAAATGAAAATATTTGAAAATAAGAGTAGCATCATGTATAGTAAGATCCCGCTTAACGCTGGTTCGTTTAGCGCTGTTTCGGTTTAACGCGTTTTTTATTGGAATAGTGAGATTCCCTGAAAATTGCGCGCAGCATTGGGCTTCCGAAATCTAAGGTAATTTATCTGCATTACTTCTTCTCTGTAGTGTTAGACAAACGTATTTTTATTATTTCAAACATTTGTTGCTGTTATTGTAAGTATAAATTTATGTAATATAATGATTGATATAGTGATAAATATTATAATTTTTAGCTCTTAATATTGATGATAGTACGAAACACACAACGAGAAAGCGCATTCCGCTAGAAACTAAAGTGCAGGTGCTAAGAAGATTAAGATGATGGTGAATGTCATTGTCAAATTGGTATTGCATTGAACTTGTCAATGTCAACAATAAAGACAATTTTCAAGAATAATGAAAAACTAGTGCCATCAGCAACTACAACTACAAAAACCTCTGCAGCTGGAATAATCCCTTCTAGAAATAATACGATAGAGGAGATGGAAAAAAGACTCTGAATGTCAAGCAATCCCGTGTAAGAGTAGATTATTTATGCGCCGTTATGCCTTCTCGCGAGCGTAACTTCAAACCACTCCTAGGTTAAAAAGTTCTCTGTGAATGACTAATTTCCGATATATGCAAGATAAGTGTTCGGCCATTCGAAAACAAAATCAGAAAGAAAAACCTACCTTTTATCCTCTGCATCATGTTATGAGTAACTTAAACGAATTGCTCAGATTTGGTGGAATTTAGACACATTTTTGAGCAAGTAAATATTTTATTTCATGAGAGATTATTCTTTTATATATATACAGTGTCTCAAAAAAGTGATGGGACACTTGTGCTTTACAAAAGGAAACTGCAATAAAATAAATTTAAAAAACATGTAAAATTTTTTGTGGGTGTGTTTCATACTTAAATTTAGTAACAATTATTACATAACTTACATTTTCTCAAAATATTAAATATTAATTTAATAAAAATACAATTGTTTAGAACGGAGCAAAAAATGGCTCACTTAAGTGATGGGACACCATTAGATACTTCTATGTACTATGCAACAAAAAATCGTCTGAAGTAAGCAATAAAAATATTTTTGGGGTATTTTTATTTTTACTCAAAAGCAATTGCCAATAATTTATAAAATCGTCTGCAGTATTTCTCTCCAGTTTGTTTTGGAATTTTGGTGTTTTTTAGCTCTGTGCAGCCATGAATGCTAAACGAAAAGAAACTTTGCCTGGAATTCGGAAATTAGTTATTAATTTGCATATTGAACGTGGAAAATCTATTAGAGAAACTACTGAAACAGTTAACTTCAGTCATTCAACAGTTTTCAATATCATTAAACGATATAAAAAGAATCATATGATTCAGGATAAACGAAGACCTGGCCGACCATCAAAGCTATCCAATGGAATAAAGCGAATTATTGTTCGAAATATTTAAAAAAAATCCAAGAATGAGTGCTCCTAAAGTTGCTGCTGATTTATAAGCATTATATGGAGTAATTGTTAATTTCTGAGACTATTAGAAGAGTAATTCGATCTACTGGATATCACGGTAGAGCAGCCAGGAAAAAATTCTTCGTAAGTGAAAAGAATAGAAAACTCAGACTGGCTTTCGCAAAATCCAACATAAATAAGAATTCTGATTACTGGAATGAAGTTATATTTGTTGATGAGAGTAAATTTAATATATTTGGTTCTGACGGTAGAATCTTGGTGTGGAGAAAACCCAGGGAAGAATTTCGCAAACAGAACTTGGTGCCAACAGTAAAACATGGTGGAGGAGGAGTTATGGTATGGGGGTGTATGTATGTCGTCCGCTGGAGTTGGTAATCTTGTTTTTTATTGACAGTATAATGGATCAGTACAAGTATATTGACATTTTAAATCAAAATTTGAAATCTTCAGCACGAAAATTGAACCTTCATAACGATTTTAAATTCTACCAGGACAATGACCCCAAGCACAGTGCTTTGAACGTCAGACTCTGGCTGCTGTATAACTGTCCTGAAATAATAAAAACACCCCCACAATCTCCACAATTAAATCCCATAGAGAATATTTGGCAAGAATTGGAATCAAGAATTCGCAAACACACCATTTCTTCAAAACAACAATTAAAAATCGGTGCTTCAAGAAGAGTGGGGTAAAATCACTCCAGAAATCACAAAAAAATTAGTCGAATCCATCCCAAGAAGATTAAATCATGTTTTAAAAGTAAAAGGAAATCCAACAAAATATTAAAACCTTTTAAAAAGTAAAATTTTTGGATAAATATTTGATGGAAAAGTAAGTGTCCCATCACTTAAGTGAGCCATTTTCTGCTCCGTTCTAAACAATTGTATTTTTATTAAATTAATATTTTAATATTTTGAGAAAATGCATGTTATGTAATAATTGTTACTAAATTTAAGTATGAAACACACCCACAAAAAATGTTACATGTTTTTTAAATTTATTTTATTGCAGTTTCCTTTTGTAAAGCACAAGTGTCCCATCACTTTTTTGAGACACTGTATGGAATTTCAATATTTTTATAATTTAGACATTTGTATATGTTATTTTCTTCTTACTTTGTTTAATATCGTAGATGTATGTTTTATATCGAAATAAAGGAACAAAAAAAGCTATTAAGATACGAAGGTTGCTATTTATGTTTCTCGCCTGCGACCGCAGACGATTCCAATCGAAAGTCTAATATTTTTAACCAAAACTTCTCAGAACGTTTTTCCAATTTAGCCGTGATTTGTGTTGTTTACAGTAAAGTGAAAAATTTATCTCGGGCAATAAATGGAATTGACCCTTGAACATTTTCGTGCGATTATTTTTCATAACTTTCGACGTGGATTAACAAGACAAAGGTGCTTCGATGAACTTAATTCTTTATACAACGATAAAGCGCCATCTTTAGCACTGTAAAAAATTTTTATGACGAATTCAATCGTGGTCCACGTTCGCTCCAAGACGAATTCCGTGAAGGTCGTCCAAAATATGTTGTTGTGCCAGAAGATATGGATGCTGTGCGTGAACTGATAGAGCAAGATCGTCATGTGACATACCGTGAGATTGAGACATATTTGGGCATTTGTATGACAAACATCGATAAGATATTACATGAAAAACATTTGGCCATAAAAAAAGATTTGTTCGCGTTAGATCCCGCATAATCTGACAAACGCTCAAAAGAAGGCTCATGCCGATTGGCGCAAGGGAGTGTTGGAAAAATGCGTTCAGTGCATCAAAAGTTGTGTATAACATCTATACAAGTGATGGATTTGGATTATTCAGTTATGGCAAAGCACACGAGGGCTATCTGCCTAAGGGGAGGGATGCCTTTCGTGGAGGACTTTCTAAGGGAAACTGGCTCGTATACACGTTACACATGGGGAAAACCACGAAAACGCCCATGCAGCCAGCCCGTTCGCGGGATTCGAACCTCAGACCGAACTACCAGTGTTCAGCGTCTATACAAGTGATGAATCATGAATCTGTGCATATGAGCTAGAAACGAAACAGTAGTCGACCGTATGGGTCTTCCAAGACGACCCAAATCCAACAAAAGTTGTTCGCGGAAGAAGCAAGTCGAAACAAATATTTGCCTGTTTCCCTTCGAGTTGCATTACGAGTCACGTGGCGAAAGTGGCGTTACAGCGACTCAGGATGGTCAGTTCCGAATGGTACACGACCAGTTGTTTGCTAGAAGCCATCGGAGAATTTCGAAAAAAGCAGGAGAGGTAAATCATTTTTCATCGTAACAATGTGAGCTCTCACACATCGGCTGAACAAAGGAATTTTTGACGGGCCAAAACATCGAATTGATGGGTCATCCGCCGTACAGCCCTAATTTGGCACCCAATGACTTTTTTTATTCCCGCTCATCAAAAATAAATTACGTGGTTAGCGATTTGCGATACCCGAAGAAGCGGTTGATGCATTCAAAACGCATGTTACCTCAATCGGAGAGGAAAAAGTGCTTCAACAATTGGTTCAAGCGCATGCAAAAGTGCATTGATCTTCATGGAAAATATCTTGAAAAAGAATGAATCCAATTTCAATCATAAACATTCGTTTCTTCATTATAAGGCCAGAAATATAAATAGCAACTCTCGTATGTTAAAAAATCGACATTTCTCCTGCGACAATTTTAATTTTGCCTATCAACGTGACTCAACTATCAAAGAATACAAGGTGTGTTATTTTATTTTCAATATCTATTTCTCCGAAGAAATCGTCGGAAGTTTGGCAGAGAAGTGCATAGAAGAGGCAAATAAGAAGCAGACTGGCCACATGAGTGAAAATGAAGCTTTGGGAGCGATTAATAGTATTTTTCCAGAGGAGATGAAACGCCATGCATTTGCTCGTCTATTAGATGTACACAGAGAAGTGAGTCTTCCGTAAGGATCATTTTGTCAATTAATAGTTTAAATAACGTTTTATCATATATAAGGTAATGTTGTATGTAAGGATGTTCTGGAAAGTTTCTAAAATTGTTCGGTTTAAAAATCAATTGGAAATAAACTTCTATAGGCTACATTTCCTTAAAAATAAATAAATAAATAAACACTATAGAGTTGTTAGTGCTTTTCTAATGCTCCAGGGAGCAGTCTTGTAATCTATTCTTTGACAGTTGGTTCTTTAAAGATGATTTGCCGCTGTTAAGGTTGTAAGGTATATTTTAATTTTATAACAGTTATTTTAATTTAGTTAGCCTTTCCTACCTTGCCTCGTTTCAACTTACAACTCCCTACCAGAATGGGTTTTGTAGAATTGCGATGAATGGAAATGAGGAAGAAATAGTATTAAAGGAAAGTTCAACTTACTTCGTGAGACAGAGCTAGGAATCCCGAGTAGCGCACATTTGCCTTTGAGCTAAATCTCTCCAACTGCTGTTACACTCGGCCGTATATTACGTGCCTTTTGATTATTCGCCGTCTAGTTTAAGACAAAAAGCCAACTCAGTTATATTTGTGTTATCTTCCGCTAAATCTCTTAGTTAGATATAGTTAGTTCTTATTTCTTATTTTTAAGCCCAACTGGAGGCTTTGTTGTAAGCCCGAAGAAAGGCGCCGACTGTTCATCTTGTCTGGATTGAAATAAAGGGTAATTAACCCTTCTTAAGTTTACGATTCCTATTCTTTGAACTAAGAGATAATTCGCTTAACAGTCTACTAAGTTCCTCGATATTTCATTTAGCGAAATAAAAGTGAGGAACTCCGCAAGGTCTGTGAATCATTTACCTTTCAGCTTAGATTTTAAGTGAAGAATCAGAAAATATTGGTTGTTGAGACAAAATAAAACCCTGATGTTCTAATGCGTAGTATCTATTTGGAAAGATCCAATACTGTCAAATTACATATTTCTGCTATATACTGCTTAACCGCGCTGGTTTGAAAGCTACATTTGCTCATCCTAATTATCTAAATCTAAATAAACGTGCATGTACTTTTTTAGTGCTGGAAAGGGAGGAAGGAATGGTCTTCTAGGAATGGTGAAAGGGGGTGCATGGGGGCAAAATAAGGTTGAGAACCAATGATTTTAACAGATAAATCAAATTACAACTTTCAACCGAACGGTTTCTTCCTGTTTCCGCGAAATCATCAGTCTCCCTTACCCCCTTTCCCAAAAGGGTTACATTGTGGAGATGGCGAGTGGACCTTGGCCTCTTCCGAAATGTAGGAAAGCAAAAAATTTTTAGATTGAAAAAAAAAAAAAAAAAAAAAAAAAAAAAAAAAAATTAAAAGAAATAATCGAAAAATATTTACGATGTCAGATCTTTGCATAAATGAAGCTAATACTGTATTCAAAAGGAGAGAGAGAGAGAGAGATGTTCAAACTCTGCGATGATTTTGGCAATGAACTAAAAGATAGTTTCCTAAGGTAAAAAATAATATTCTTCCAAAATTCTGCATAAAGGGGAGTTTTAATTAAATCTTTCAGAATAAATATTCATTCTAAAATGACGTTCTTTCTTCTAAAAAGACTTTTGCTTTGGTCTTAATCGCGCCTTTGCAGCTTTTAATTCTTTCATTTATGCAAATCCAATTAACTACATTTTCCTTATTTCTATTCCTAATTCGATATATAACTTTTATAAGGGACTGAAGTTCCCCCTTTTAGTTTAAACAATGTCTAAAACATTCATATTAATTAACATAAGATAGGAAAATAATAGCTTATATTGTAACAGAATTACATACAGAATGAACCTAAAGATTTCGAGGGGAGCCTAAACTAAGACACGTCTTTAATCTAACGAAGACTAACTTATTCATAAAAAAACTGCTCAGCTCTGAAAAGCTGTGGGGGGAAATTGTATTTTCCGATTTCGCGGGAACAGAAAGAATTTTGAAAAATGCGGAAAGAGGAATCGCGGAAACAGAACTAATTCCAAGCGGACACTAGATAGCGTTGCTTGATGTCAAGGTGTCAATCAAGCATTGCCAATCTACATTCTTTAAAAACTATTAAAATTTCTTGCTATTAAAACTTGAAGAAAAAGAAGCATTATGATAAAGGTCAATATAAAAAGTAGAAATTGTGCTGAGAGATCAAAGATGCTCGCTCTACTTACATTCAGTGTATTATTGTCTCTCAATAGTAACATCAAGCATAAGTAAGATCATAAAAGATGAAAATAACTATATTTAAAAAACGAGAGCTATTATTTGATTGCTGCGTGTAATGAATATTTACTCAGTGTCATAATCAGAACAAATTTATTACATGAATAAGAATTGTGAATGTATTTAAAATCGCAGCTTCTCAATTTAGATTTTTCATTTATTCACTTTTCTGCTTATATCATGGAAATCTTTTGTAAAACCTATTTATTTTATTACCTTTAACGCTTCATTTTTAATTATTAGGTTACCAGTAACTTCGGAGAAATTGATTCTTTCGGTTTAAGACAACCATCGAAATCTGTTCCTGAAAACAAAGTCACTGTTCATCAAGAACTGCCTATCGGCCAAAGTACAACTAAAGAAGAAGTTTTGCATACACCAGATATAAGTACAAATGCCGATCCGGTACAAGATGATCTTGAGCAGAATGTTTTGCAAATTTTCTTGATTCAGAACAAAAAGACACCACAAAGCTGGAAAATAATTCTGATATTCAAAACGCGGCAAATAGCTCTGGTATTCCACAACTAGAAAACAGAATTATAGTTCAGGAGCGGACAGATAACGCAGCTGTCCGGCAAAATCAAGATAATTTGAGCTCTGAGGAAACAGAATTCCCTGTCACTATAAACGAACGAAACAGGAGTGAGGTGGAAGAGAGTCTGGTGAAATCGAATGTAGAACACAGTCCAGCGACCCAAGATGAGGGAAAATATTGTGGTTACTGAGAGCCAAAATTTAAATAAAGTAATTTATTGGACAGATATTCGTCCTTGGGAATCTGCAAATAGCTAAATAGTTATCAAACTTATTATCACCTGATGTATTCTTTAATAAGTTTACTTTTTTGAACTTGCTCAAAAGATGTTTAATATTTTGAAGCTTTTTACTCAATAAAAAGTTTGACTATAAACCTTGATTATAAATCATGTGAAAACGTAAAACTGCTTCTTCTTACACCTTTATTTTCTTCTTTTTTTCCCTTTTACGTTTTTACTTTGTGAGGATTTACTTTTTTATTTGGACTAACAGTTAAATTTTAGTTAAAGTAACTAAAGTCCTAGATCCTTGTTTTTACCCACGCTCACCTGCCAGAATGTTAATTAGGTAACTCACGTGTATTCAAATTAGGGGATAATGAAATGTTATTTAAGCGAAGCTTTTGCAAAGTGATTTTTAGAGTGTGTTATGTAGCCTGCTTGAAGGCTACGCTGTTACTTTGACTCACTAGCGATTTGATTCTGTGGCGCTGAGTGCTTCTAGCCATTTAGCTCGTTTCCACCGACTTCTACGAGTCAGAGCCTTCCTGCGTGTTACTTTATTCTGGCTACTTTAATTATATATATTTTTTTAAGTTTAACATTTTCTGTTTGAGTTAAACCAGTTGACTTTATGCAAGCCCAAAGGACCCAAGATAAGGAAAATACCATCTGTGCAATATCATCTGTGCAATTATATTGAATTGAATAGGGTTCTTTACACCCTTTTCCGGATTTTGTCTGTTTTTGTCAAGACCTACGAATAATTCCTCTTACACTCTTTCTAGAGCTCGTTAATTTATGCGACCAAAAAAAGAGCGAGACTCTGTAACTTAAAAATACTTTTTTTCGCATTCTTTTCCGAATATTTACATTTATGGCTTTGATTCGTATTCAGAGGCAATGTTCACATTTAAGGCTTACAATTCATACAATACATGTTTACAATTCAGAGGAATGTTGACATTTAAGGCTTTGATTCGTATTAATGTTCCGAATGTTTACATTTAATTCGTATTCAGAGGATACATGTAAAAATTTGTAATTTCCATTTCATGAAATTCATTTACTTAGTATTAAACTATGTTTATAATTAAAAATGGAGCATTTATAATTCGCAAAATTTATTAACTTAAAGAATACAGATTCATAAACAGAATGTTACAACTTTGAGAAACACAAATGCCACTATCAGCCACAGCGCATGAGTCTGAAGAGCAGAAGCTGAAGACGGATCGATATCTGAAAAATATTTCTCAATATTAGATATTTAGATGGAAAACCATTTATTGCATATTGAGATAAATATCTATTAAAAGAGTCATAAAATTTTATTATTTATTTACAGAAAAGTCTCTCAAATCGTTAGACCCACTAGAAGTCTTTTTTTGACTTACTCGAGCAGAACCCCTTAGGCCTATCCTATGCCTTACAAATTTAAAGTAATATAAAGCAAAAAGATATTAAAAGTAATTAAAAGATAAATATCTATTAAAAGAGCCTTAGACCTATCTTATGTCTTACTTATCTATCCTATGTCTTACAAATTAAAAGTAAAATAAAGTAAAAAAGGTATTAAAATCTATAAGGTATTTCTCCGGCCTTCTTAGCGTGCTTTCCTGGTGCAGTGGTCTGCACGCTGGACGCGTATCTTTCTCAATTCGTGGAGTCCTTTTCAGACTACTTTAGAGGAGCCCCTTAGACCTATCTTATGTCTTACGAATTAATGTTTTAGAAGAATATTATAGGGGTAGGAAGTAATGAAATATCTAAACACTTGTACAGTATATGTGAAATGAAATTATGTTTTAATTTTTTTAGTTTTATCGTAATATCTCAGTTTGTTCCCAACGCGATATTGTCAGTACGTGAAGGCTCTTCCAAAGTTCAACGAATAAAACTAATTTGCGTTACAACAGATATTTTACATTACTGCTGAAAATATCCTTCAAATCATTATACAATGGATTCCTTCTATGGAAATTAATCATTATATTCATTTCATTCAGGTATATACTCGATTATGGACTCTTATTTGAAATGTTTAATACTTACTGTGGAAGACAATAAGAACAGTATATTATAGACCTCAATTAAAACATGACACTAAGAAAATAAATAAAAACATTTAGCAAGACACCTGCGGTTACATTTTTATGTGCACAGTTTTCTAATTTTATATTTAACCGTTAATAATTGGAAATGAAACTACTGCTCTGTGTTAGTTGCTTTGTTATCGGTAGGGTGAAGAATTCCGCTTGACAGGGATATGTAGTTGAGAAAAGCAGCATTTATTTTGCTTCATCAGACATGAATTTTCAATATCATCTTGTATGCAGGCAAAATTCCGATGTACTTTGTTTTGAAACGCGATTTTTAGTTTGCTGTGAGATATTAAATCTCTTGCTGCATTAAGTTGGATACATCTTTTGTTCGTGCTGAACACATTCAGCACCCATTCAGAGTAATCCAAGCATCTTTTATAAGGTGTATTTTAATTAATAACAGTTATTTTAATTTTAAAACCCTTTGCTTTCAATTCTTGTTTCCACTTACAACTCTCTAGAAGAATGAGTTTTTAAAATCGCGTTGAATGCAAATGAGTTAGAAGTATTTAAGGAAGGTTCAACTAACTTCAACAGAGAGTGCTAGGAGCCCTTAGTGGCGTGTGTTTGCCATCTGGCTAAGTCACTCTTGAAGCTGTTACGCTCGGCCATACTATACGTGCCTATTAATATTCAGTTTAATTTAAGGTCCAACTACGTAGATAACTGTGTCTAGCTTCGGCTAAGTCTCGTTTAGTTACTTTTAATTTAGTTCTTATTTCTTATTCTGAGTTAAAACTCGAGTAGAGGTTTTCCCGTAAGCCCGAGAATGGGGCCGACTGTTGTTCTTAGTTGAGTGAATAGGGTAATTTAATCCTTCTCGAGTCTACGTCTTAGTTGTTCTGAACTGAGCGAGAAGTCGCTACATAGTTCATTATGGTTCACTAGGGTTCATAGTTCACTTCCTCTATGTTTTATCAAAGTGCGAGGAATAACCTTCTCTTGAGCTGTCGAAAAATAAAGTTCAAATGAATTTTCCAAAACTTTGAGATAAGTCTGAATATTTTTCTGCGTCTTTTTCTTGAATTTTGACATTATTTTTTTCCAAGCATGTTGTTTGTAAGAAGAATGCAATTCTTCTCTTCCTTTTCCTCGCCCTCCAACAAAAGTCTTCAAAAGAAGACACTTCGGAGTTTGCACCAAAAACTGTGACATTTCCCTTTAACAATGACAGATACTTTTCGTTCATTTTCTATGATTCTAATTCGGTCCATACGCCATTTTACACGCCCAGTTCTTGCCAATGCAGAGTTATGGTCCATTAAAAATGCTACCACTTACGAATGTGGTTTCATCAGGTACGTTGAAGCTTTTCTTTGAGATAATCCCCTACTTCAATGTGAATATTCATTACACAAATTTATTCACTCACCATGAAGAGGGACTCTGATATCATCCCATTCTGTTCACACATTAATATACTGAGTCTGCTTTTAAAAGGATTAATACATGATATTACTTTTATTAATGAACACTAACTAGTTACATAACCCCACACAGAAAATTCGAGGAAGAATCGCTAAGAAATCGCAGTACAGTAGAATCCCGCAAACTCGACTCCCGATATCTCGACATTCTGTATAACTCGACAAATTTTTAGAAGCGTTTTTAAGATATCTCTAGGTCAAACAGAGCAAATACTACATACAGTACATATAATTATTATTTATGCGTTTGTCTTTCCTGCTCTGTGCAAGGATCTGAGTGTTCTTTTTCTGTAATTTTTGCATTGTGTTATTGATTCTTGAACTGCCTAACAAATTTCAGGATATTTTGTAATGCTTGGCAACGCTGTTTGCTTCGTTCGAGGATACGAAGAAAGGGAGGTAGCTGCTGGCCGCTGGCTCACATATTTTTGTATTGTTGCCAAACGTTAAGAGACTTGTCTGAAGTTTTCTGACTGCATCTTATTGCAAACTAAACTTACACCAGTTCATTGCGGGTATCGTTGCTCAGTTCACATCCTGGTGTATAAGTGTTTGGGGGAACTTTTGATATTCTGTGAAGTGAAAATATCGTTCGAAAAGAAAACAAACTAACGTGACAATGGAAATGAAACTAGATGCCTTAAAGAGACTGGAAAAGGGGGAAAGTGTGAACAAAATTACCCTGAATTTAGATATTGAAGGGACTACTTTGATAGAGTGGAAAAAGGAGAGGTTTGAAATCGAGCCATGGTGTGTGAAAAAGAGCATGTACAAAGGAAAGAAATATTATGAAAGGTGGTGAATATAAAAAAGGGACCCAGGCGCTTTATTTGTGATTTAGGCAGCAAAGGGAAGAGAAAGCACCCGTTTCAGGACCAATTTTACAAGAGGAATCCCTGAAATTTTATGATGAATTTCAAGAAGGAGAGTCTGGATTTACTGCTAGTGCTAGCTGGGGCTTAACAGATGGAAAAATCGGTACCACCACCCATAGATCAATGGGCAAGAGTAGAGTTTTTTTAATTCATATATTATTTGTCTCTAGAATCATAATATTCGATTTCTAGAGTATTTTAGTTAAAATATCATAAAAATAATATCGCGCGCATGAAAGTGTTAAATATTAAAGAATTATGAAAAAAAAAAAAAAAAACACCACTTTTTCCGTAAAACTAAACTTTTCGGAAATTCGACGCTTTCTCAGTCCACATTATGTCGAGTTTGCGGGACTTTACTGTATTATCTCTAGAAATATTCACTGTGAAGTGATTCCGTATCCGTTAGTCATCTGTTTTAATATGGGACTAGATTTAGAGAAGTTTCAAGTGGATTCGAGGAATTCTTAGAGTATCAAGAATGTGCAAGAACGTTCTCAAATATACAGTCCATGGAATGGACAAGCATCGTCTGCTAGAGGAGACGCGAAGTTCAACTTTGCGAATTTTCACATTCAAAATGGAATTTTTAAATTTCTTATTTTTTTCTACATTTTATTTTTTATTCTTTAATTTCATTCAGTTTTTATTTATTTTATATTTATTTATTATATATTCAGTTTTTATTATTTGTCTGGAGTAGACGAGGACCCCTGGAAAATGCATGCGGAGCCCTGATTGGTGGAACAGCTTCTATAAAGTATAGTTACAGTAAACATCACTCATATATTTAGAGGAAAAAATAATGTTATTTCATGTCATATTTTAATATACAAATGTTATCAAAAAGAAGCATTATTAGAAGAAATAAAATAAAAGTAGAATTAAAGAAGAAATTAATGCATATTAGACGAAATAAAATAAAGATAAATTATGCTAGTATCCCAACCAAATATCATATTAGATATAAATATCCATTTAAAATAGGAAATAACGCAAGCTGAATTTCTTCCAAAAATTTAGATCGGAAAATGTATCATACGCTGTCATCGGTAATCGTTGATTACAAATTTACACTGTAAGTAAATAAATTTATGTAAACATGAATGAGTTCTCAGATCTCGTAGTTGACAGGGAGTCATTTTTGCTTCCTTGTTAGAGGTATAGAAAGTACTGTAGTCGCGAAAAATTTCGGGTATCGTATTTCAACGAAAATGTCCTCTCTCGAATGTTTTTTGCGTGATTATGTGTAAGTACGGACAGAATAAAGGTCTCTATTTTTTTTTTTTTTTTTTCCCTAAAACGGATTGTAAAAAGGATTTAAAATGAATTCAGAAGATATTTTTTTTCGTGACGTCTCTGTACGTACGTATGTATATATCTCGCATAACTCAAAAGCGAGAGTAGCCTCAGAACTTTTAAATTTTGCTTGTGGGACTGCTATAATATGTAGTTGTGTACTTCCCTTTTTGGTTGCTATCGGCCTCACCAAACGTATATAAATATATGTATATGTATGTATGTATATCCACTCTATTACCCAGCTCGGCGAGATCAATTTTTTATTCTTGTTTGTAATTGCGCATTTTTTGCCTTGAAAGTGGTTGAACTATGTTGTTCTTATGATGAGGTTAAGAATTTTATGCCTTTAGTTAATCCTTATGCAATAATTGTAGAATTATCAAAAAATTAAAAGTTGTTTAAGTGGTATCAAGTCTAACGAAGCAGCCATTTGTTTACATTTGAAAGTGAGTAGAATAGTGATTTAAGTAAGTTGGTACACCAACTTCAGTGTCTTTTAGCCCAGTGGAACGAAAAGTTAATTTTCCGTTTTG